TTTTTTGGAATTAGTTATCAAATCTCATTGGTTTCTGTCATCCAGAGATTTTAATGAATTTCTGCTTGATACTTGACCTTTGGTTATAACTTATAAAAAAGATAAACTCTTCAAACAAATAACTTGTAAAGATTTTGTAATCAACACACTTATCTCTTGTGAGATTATTTGCTCACGATAATACAATATTTAGAACTTATTTTATGAATTCATTGGTAAAATGTTTCAAGAAGTCATACCACGAGTTTTAGAAGAATTTTATAGTTTTGATTAAAGTACCAGTAGCCCTATTGAAAACAAATCAAAAGTAAATGTTAAAATCGTGCTAAAGCTTTTGAGAACTTAGGTTTGGCTTAATTTGAAAAACTGTAGATAAATGAATATTAATTTTCTTATGGACTTGGACTTAAATCAAAAACAAAATTCTGAAAATCGCAAAGTTATTAACCATTTTTTTTTGAAAAATATTTTGGAAACCAACATAAACCCTAGTAAACAAAATAATGAGGAATGTAAATAGGAACACTAAAAATATTCACGTATCTTATGTGGCATAATTAATATCGAATCTTGTTTTATTTCAGAAAACCTGAATTTTAAACATAATAATGTAGTAGGTTTTAATGCTTGTCACTTCACATAAATTTTTTTTCAATTTGAATCTACGGAAACTTTTAATCAATTAGATGTCCAATTAGTGGGTTTTTTTTTTTATCTCTTCAAAAAACTTTCATAACTCTATATTGCATATATGTAATAATATATTAATAAAATATAAATATAACCTTAATTTATACCAAAAAGTTGGCTATTAATTATTGTATAAAGAAAAATAGGAAGAGCATGGATATTAAGCGAAAAATTTCGAAAAGCTTTTTAAACACAAAATATAGGAAATAGCCAAGACAATAAATTAATTTGAAATATTATTAAAAAGCATGACAATTAAGTGGATATTTCAAAAAAATTATTGTTAATATACAAAATGACTTAAGAAAATTAATAAATGGGTATTAATTCATTCGCATTAGAGAAATATTGTCACGATTAACTAATTTACGGTGTCATTATACTTAATATACATATAGTAATAAGCGTTCAGTAAATATGTACAAACTTCATACAAGTTTACTGTATACTAAAGCAACTAATATTTATTATCAACTCAATATTGTGTATATGTGTGCGTTGTATGTCATTAATTTTTCCTTTTAAATTGAATAACAATTAAGGCAATTTTTAGTTAACTGGCACCATATTTTGAAGTTTTTCGATGGTAAACATAATTTCTTTTTTTTAGGAATACTTACTACATACAGGGTGTTTCATATAAAGTGGCAATAATTTCATGGATAATTCTTTGATCAATTTCCAGCAAAAAATTGTGCCGGGTGGGCGGTGTATCACGTTTTACAGGCAAAACTATGAGAGATAGAGAAAAATGTTATATGGGTTAACTTTTAAACGCATGAAAAAAATATCAAAAATTTTCGAGAAATTTCGAGTTTTGTAAAAAAAATTTAAAAAAAAAAGTAAAACTTCTCGACTTTGACCAACTATATCTCAAAAACTATGGCTCAGATCAAATTAATTATAAGTCCAAAAATAAAGAACAATCAATCGCCTGTAAAACGAGCCATTAATGATAACTCTGTATTGTATGGTTCCGAAGTTATAAGTATTTATTTATATGAAGGAAATGGCCGATACATTTTTTTTCAACAGGCTGTAGCTCGAAAACGAGTATACCTGTACTCCCTACCACCCATACAATTTTTCGCTAGTAATTGATCAAAGAATCATCCTTGAAAGTATTTTCCTTACGCGAAACACCCAGTATAACGGTTATTATAAAAATAAAAATTTACAAAATAATAAAACCGCAACAATTGTAAATAGAGATATTATCACTATTTTGAAATGTTTTTTAAAAAGTAGAGAAATATTTGGAATAATGAACATTCTGAGTTATCTGCTGTTTTACAATTTAAAAGGAGTAACTACAGAAATAGCCATATGGTCTACATATAATGTCATTTAATTTTAAACAAATGAAAGATCAATAATTCTGTACAAGTTCAATTTCCAAATTGTTATTTTAAAAATAAACTAAAATTTTTCCAAATTGTTATCTTCTTAGAACCATGAACTCCCAAAATGTAGAAATTTTCATGAACTCCAAAAATGTAGAAAACTTAACTATGTAAATTTTTTCAAACAACGATTATTAAAACACCAATCGTTTGTCACAAAATAATAATTCTTTAAAATTGGACCAATAATCTAATTAGCTTAAAAATATTTCAAATTGTTCTTTTACTTTATTTAAAAAATAAATTTTTTATAATTTAAAAATATACGTAATTTTCATTTCGCTTCCTACTGCCAAAGCAACAACATGAAACAAATTGTATATGTCAAGCTCCATTAAGACAAGTAAATTATCTACAAAATTATGCTGCAATTATCAAGGACATAAGAAGCCATTCCAAAGTCAAGCATAGGTGCGCGTCCATCAAAATTCAAACTTTTAGACGTCAATTTAACATTCTACTATTTACTAATAGTTTTAGTAAACAAAAATATTTTCTAAAATGACATCTAATTTTGCGATATTTATAAGAATCGCGTCTACTAATCTTGATATCAAAACGGTATTATAGAGCTAAATGCAGTGTCGGTCGGCTTAAGCGCATCGACCAATTTAATCAACTTACAACTAAAACATGACGAAATCTCATTATCTATCTATTTTACGTAATGGATGTAGTATGAAATATTGTTAGGTGTTGTTAATATATAAGTGATGAAACATCAACAAGTTAAGTTCAACTTGTTAGTTTGTCTGAACTGAATTTAAGTCTGAACATAATGGACACTGTACAACTAATACAAACAACTAACAATTTACTAAGATGTACTATTTATAACCATTCAATTAACCTTTAAATTTCCGCCTTAATTTTTTGCAATTAAATTTGTGGATATTACCGAAAAAATATTATCACATATAAAAAAAATCATTAAGAACAAGGTAAATAGATTTTTAAATGCGTTAAATTCAGTGTTTTATCATAACTTTCAATGTATATAGTTTGTATAACAGATTAAATTTTAAATTTAATTAACATTTAAAAATTATTTTCAGAATTTATTAAATAAAAATATTCAATCATAAACTAATTATATTAAAAGCCTTTTAAAAAATTTTAATGGATTTGTTATTAAAATTGTAATAATTATGTAACATAAAAAATATTCTTGTTCAAATACTTAATTGCTATTTTACTATACTTTTAATTTGATATATTGATTCAAATCATTAAACAATTAATCATAGCGAAGTTATATGGTGAATAAAATAATGCACATGTTAATAAATTCTTACAGTACACAATATCGCACCCCTAAAAGTATGCCAAATAAATTTAAGTAAATTATTTTGTTTACGAATTTTGAGAAAAGTTATTAAGTGTGAAGTTTCTTTTTAATTTCATTATTTTTTACGTTTTTATAATTGAAATAAGTAATTTACTTATTTCAATTGGTTAAAGAAAATATATGAAAATGGAAAAGTAATGGTATAACGTTGGCTCGAATGTGTTATAGCATTTTCCGAAATTAAGTCGCTTTTGTTAGAACCTTTTTTCTAGATAAATTTTTATTCCCCTACTTCGCTACTCGAAGGAGCATAAGACTGGCGCATGATAATGTAGCCAACTATGAACCAGTTTCTTATGTCATTGAGTTTACTAGGTAGGTGACGAGCTTTCCTGCATAAGTAGTAGGTCAAAATTACCCTAAGATTTTAAATGTCATAGAAGCAATTTTCACATATTATTTCGAGCAAAGAGTTATACAAATCTTTCAGAATTTTTAGACAGATGCGGCATATTAACATCACACTAAGTCATTACTAAAGGCCGTCCGTTTTTTCACTATTCCAGAATCTGCGGAAAATATTATTTTTTATTTTTAATTAAGGAACTTTCAGTTAATCACTCATTCAGTAATGTAAATTCATATTAAGCACACAATATTCCTATTCTATATTTTATGTTCCTAATTCATACAGCTCCTACAAATTTTGGTGCTGCACATCTTCAAAACCGAGTAAGATTCAAGGAACATCGACTGTCTTCCGCATCAGTCCGGGACAACAATTGTTTTACAAAACTTACGTTTTTGGAAAAGAATAGTATACTTATAGGGGTGTTGTATTATATATGGTCATACTTACAATGTGTAAAAATTTTACAAATAATTTCAAAAAGAAATAAGGTGCAAAAATGTAATGTGCACATTAATTGCTCGTTATAAAACTTAATTGGATTAGTTAACTTTTTACGTTAGCAAATTAATTTACAGCATTTTTTTTTTGTTTGCTAGTAATAAATTTAATTATATCGTCTATTAGTAATTTGCTCATTTAATACAATTTAAGTATATACCTATACATATATATTGTATATAAATATAATACAACAAACTTTGTGTAATCATACCATCCATACGTTTGTGTAAAATACATACACCCATACAATTGTTAGTTAAATACATAAATCAATAATTCGTCTCGAATATTTCATTGCAAAATCATTAAGACATGACATAATTTAAGCTATTGTTCTCGTGTTTCAAACCGGTTTTTGTTTCTTTCTATAATCTTTCAGATATTTAAGAATGATTTCTATTTAAGGTATTTAAACTTTGAACATTATAAACTTTATGATTTGTTTATGATATTAAAAATTGAGGTAGCTGAATACTTTTTTGGTAGAACTTGCAATTTTTAAATTTTGTGCAATAATTGAAGAATATGCACATTCAAATCAGTTAAATAAATAAATAAGTTTAACTTTAAGCTTTACAAAAATTCTAAGGAAAGCAATTTGGTATCTATTTCTACAAAAGTTTTCTATTTTAGTTTTTGAAATTTAATAATTTTAAATCAATTTAAGGAAAATAAAATTTTAAAGTTTTAAAATAAAATTCCTTACCTTCCGTTTCATCAAAATTCTTATTGGTTAATTGAAATAGAGCATCTAGTGGTGTACCATTTGGTTTGTTCTTTTGACTACTATTTGAACTATCTTGTTTTGATGTAGATGTGGAACTTGTACCATTGTTTAAACTATTATTACCACGTGGTGAATTTCTATTTTGATGGTGATGATGATTACTTAAATTATGTATTGAATCAGCAGATAACCTATTAGCAATATCAGATGGTGAATAACAATCACTTGCAGCAGAACTAGAACGTTCTGAACCACTTTCTGAATGATTAATATCTAATGATATACGTTGCCTTAATAATTCTGCTTGCGCATTTAAATGTTCTTGTAATTGTCTTTGATAATCTAATGCTAATCTTTGTTCATAATGAAATAATGCAGAAGGAAGGAATGGTCTTACTGGAATTGGACCACGTAAATGATCCCATGGACGAACAATTTTTGATGCAATTAAATTTAAATTATTATTGTTATATTGTTGTCGTTGTTGCTGTCCCTGTTGCTCTTCTTGTCTTTGTTGTTCTTGTTGTAAACGATTTTGTAATTGTTGTGCAGCTTCATTTCGTAAATTGGTTTCATGGTGTCCTAATATATCTGCTATTGAAAAACTTTTTACCTTTTCTGCATTTGATTTCCCATTTGCTTGTGATGGTGCTTGTAATATTGCACCTAGATTTTGTGGTGGTGAAACACTACGTGAATGTGATCGATCACAACGTCTTTCCAAAGTACTAGATTCAGATTCATTAATTAATTTCAGTCTTTTCGTTAATATATGTGGATCTTCATATTTTCTTTTATTTATTGATGTGGTAATATCAGGTGATTGCCTTAAAACTTTTGATAAATTTATTAAAGCTGATCTCGATGATATACTATGAGAAACTGGTGGAGGTGGCGGACTAGGTGAACCAACTGAAATATCTGATCCAATTGGACTATCAGGTGGTGGTGAATTTTTGCACAGCATTATATTTATTTTATTTTAATAAGTTCACTATTATACAATTAATTTTTTTTTATCAAATTTTAAATGTTTTTCATTGACTTAGAACTGCTAGCCTTCTTATTAAAGAAAACTAATAAATTCATGTTCTGTTAATTTTTTAATTCACATTATTAAATAAGTTTTATTATTTTTCTTATAAACATTCTAAAATGTTTTATTCAATATTAATTGCTCTTATTTTTTGCATATTTTGGCAGAGAATTCAAAAATTCAATTCACCATACCAAATGTTGTTTAATATGTATGTATATATGTAAATTACTGATATTTATGAAACAAAATACAAATAAAAAAGAAACGTTATAATAAATAAGAATAAATTACGTCGGTATGTAGAGCTTAATTACGTTTATATGTCATATCGCGTAAACAAAATCATTCGTTAAAAAATCATACTAACTTCTCGCGTTAACAAGCGACAACTGTTATTTAATACTAAGCATGCACTTGAAATGCTAACAATCTGTTTTTTTCTTTTCTTCCTTTACTTAGTCTTTCCTTTTCATTCTCATATACTTACGAACACATTTATAAAGTTCTATGTGTGCGGTAAACAAAATAAATGGCTCCGCCCCTCTCAAGTTTATTTTGAAATAAATGGGTTATTCACCAATTAAAATAAAGTGTTTTAATTATAATGGTGGTTTAACTGTTATTTTACATAACTGTGGTTAATGAAGTTTTTTATTTTTTTTTTTATTTTCTCTTTTATAATGATAAAAATGACAAAAGAGAACAAGAAACAAAAGGTGATAGAAAAAAAAATGAGGTAAGAGAAAACAAAACAAAAGTAATAACAATAATAATGATTTTGAGAATACTTTTTAAAATTGAGAGAACTGTCAAACAGGGAGAGCCGGAAAATGGTAAATGAAGTAAAAACAACTTTTGTTTCATTTTGTTTGTGTTGTGCTCCCGTTTTACTGTAAATGTGTTAGTGTTAGAAGATCTGTGGAAAACGACATTAAATGATTTTGTTTACGCTGGAAGGTAGGAATTTTGTAGATATTGTATTAACGGAATTCTCTCTTCATCATACAATATCCTATTAATTCTGCTTAAATTCGAATAACAAAATATTTAACAAGAGTAAACCTGAACAGTTTTTTATACTGATAATTGAAGTTGTATTTGTTAAAATATTTGATTAATATGAAATATATGTAATTAAATGTGAAAAAATAAATATAGGTGATATTCTGAAGTAGTACACACACCACTTTGTAGATTATTTCTTATACTATATAGTTTGATTAAAACTTTCGCTTGTGATGGTGAGTTTTCATATTTTATTCGAACACATTAATGGTTAATTATACATAGCTTTATAATGTTATTTTATTAAGCATTTGAATAAATTAAAGAAAAAGCCCTCAATTTTGAACATTATAATATGTATATATATAAATGAATATTTATATATAAATTAATGTAATACAAAGAATGTAAGAAGTAAAATGTGTAACACACGCAAGTTCACACATATAATTAAAAAAGAAATTAGTAGAAAAGGAAAAAAAAATAATAAAAATGAGGTTTGAGTGAAATGCCTATTAAATTTTGAGTGTTGGAAGTTAATTGATAGCATGACACTAAACATTTTCTGACACATTAATATATCTGCTTATACATAAATATTCTATAATACAATTGAAAAGCATATCAGGTCTGTTATATTTAGTACAATAATGAGTTTAATATAACATTTTGTAACTATAACTAATTATATATTCTTATTAGTATGGTTTATTATTCGTATGTACATCATATATACTGTTATAACATATTTGTTATATGCACATACATAGATCTCTATACTTTTTAACTATAGCTGTATAATTTAGATTTTAATATTTATGGACGTATAGTATTTATAGATAAATACGTATATTTTATTTATGCATGCCAATTTTCAAACCTACACATAAATAAGTAGGTATGTATGTACTATGTATATAATGAATAACATTTCTGATTGTAAATGGTGAACGACGGTCATTTTCGGTCGTCCTGTTTAACATAATTTTATTTTTTAATTACAAAGAAAATTATTTTTTGTTTTGTCTTTTTGTTTTTAAAAGTTTTTCCAATTCGTATTTTTTTCATATTGGATTTTTTATTTATCATTTTTAATTATTTAACTGTGCTGATAAGAGTAATTAATTAATCCTTTCATGGCATGTTTTTGGGCGGAATTATTAAAATTTTGTCTGCATATCTGTGTGTAATATAATTATTTTCTTATATTAAATATTTTGTTATATAATAAGGAAATAATGTAATTAATAAGTAACTTGATTTTATTTTTTCGTTTTGCTTTAGCTTATTTTAAACTAGTTTGCTTCATTAAATGCTTTTTAAATGGTTTTTCAAGGTTTTTTTTCTAAATTTTCCTACTTTAATATTACCAACCCTGCTTCATAATCACATATTAATAATTGAATGCGTTTTTAAAAATTATAGACAACGACGCATCAGTAATTTACTTGCATAAGACATTTTATTAAAATAATGACATTATTATGGTGTCATGATGTACGTACGTAAATGGAAAATGCCGGTGTAAACCAATAATTTCATAAAGAAGCGTGTTTCTCTTTAAACAATTCAATAGAAAAAACAATTAAATCCCACTATGAAATCAGCTTTCAGGTTCAACCTCTGAAATTTTACTATAAAACACAGATATTGCTTTTTTTTCTTTTAAATTTTCATTAGAAAGTTAAAGTTTATTAAAATAACAGATAAGATGTCTGAAAATGTACAGGCGTAATAGATACTTTATGAATGTTATTTTGCATTATTAAATAGGGCTTCGAAACGATAATTTGTGTAAAATTTATACATTGGTACACAAATAACATAATGAAACAAAAATGGAGAAAATTTCTTATAATTATCCGTCTATAGCTAGGCTACTGTGAGTGTTTAGGCTTTTTTCAAAATTTTCATAATATAGAAGAATATATGTGTTTACTCTCTCATTTTAAATATCTATGAAATTTAGAATTAATATTTATTTAAGTTTATAATTTTGATCTTTCCAAAAATAAAATATAACATTTATAATACTGCAGAAACAATTTGAAATTCAAAAATCGTCGCGTATACAAAAAATTAAAATATTTGTCATATATCACAAGATTTTGATGTCGAGTTTTCTTCACGCAAAAGTTGTCTAACATCAATCAAAATAGAATCTGTTTTTTATAACATAAGAAGTGCAAATTTAACCTTCGGCCGCAAATGAAATTACTATATAAAACAATAATATTTAAGTTATCTTCAATATCGAACAAAAATATGCAAAATGGCTTCTTGTTGGTTAATTTAAAAAAAATTCGTAACACGTACAAATAATCATTTTATTAAAAATAGGCTGATTGCCCAATTTTATGTTACAAAATCTAGATCAATTATCATAATATTGGGTAACAACTTATTTTAAATTAAAAGTGATCCTAAACATATTTAGATTTATTAGGCATTATTTTAAATCTAATCTTTTTTATATAAACATCGTATTATATCATTATAACCTACTATTCTCATTTCATATATTCTGCTTCATTTAATAAAATTTACTTAATCGCGATTCACTATATACATACATATATATATATATATATTTTTTTTTGGTATTCCTATCTTCTTATTATTGAAAATGAATGATTCGCATCAATATTTGATTTATGATGAACTCGTGATCATTAAAATAAGAACAAAAAACTCAAATCATTATTCATTTTAAAATTTTAAAATATTAAAGATTTTACCATTCTATAATTTAAATTTAAGTTTCAAGTAACCACTTAATATAGTAAAACCAAAAAAAAAACAAAAAAAAAAATATCATAAAATGTAAATCAATCAACCAAATCATTAAACCACCAACAGAGTTTCAATTAAAATTGAGATTGCTAATTTTCAATACGAAAATAAAAAACGTTTATTCGCGATTTCATTTTTGATGCGTGAAAAATTTTAGTACTAAAATGAGTTCAATATACTTCTTTATGGGAAATGTATAAATTATTTTAAGAAACTGTTTCAATTAAAATAGTATTAGAATATAAAAATAATGAACTATTAGATAATAGAGTTTCAAAACCTTTAAATTAATGGTTATGAACACAAACATAAATTAAGACAACTCGAGGCCATGGACCAACTCGAGATCAATACGTTTCACTACTATAATTCACTGTAAATTGAATATGGCCAAAATATACGTAATTATAATATTGATTATAAAGCTGAGCTCGGCGCGACTTTATTATTTTTATCAATCAAAAAAGTTTTGTAAAAATAGTTTCCATTTCATATGCCCAACCTGGTGGTCCTACAAAGTAATTTCATAAATTTTGTCCTAATAAGTTTTTAGTAATAAAATATTAGAACCTAGTAATGGCATTCAATAACTTTTATATTAAATTCTTTTCAAAAATACATTTTCTGCCCTTTAAATTTTTGCGAACAGGAAATTCATTGCTTTGTATTAAATACCATAAGTTGTAGTGGTAACATCTTGAAGGAACTTAGTAAGGAAAAAATTTTTGAATTAAAATCTAAAATTTTCTATAATTTTACGTAATGTTTTTCGTTTTTTTTTGCGTTTATGATTTATTCAGTATTCCTTTCAGCAGCCATTCCGTTTTTATAAACGCATTATTTAATTCCGTTTACATAAATGCATCCCTCACAATCCATAATAAAATAAAAGGTCAATATAATTAAATTGAAGTCATGTTATTTAAAATAAGAAATTTGAATTAGTACAGCTCTCGTTCTCTAGATTTTTAGCCGTCTTGTTTGTATTTAAAGAATTTTATGAACAATAAAGTTGGGTCAAACCAAAGGTTTGTATTGTAGCACTTTTCCCTTCAACAAGTGAAAATTCTGCTTTTAAATACAGTCTATGTATACCTATCATGCATATGTATATTATCATTTTTCATGCATATGTATATGAAACTATTTCTAGGATTGCATATATTTAGGATGATGCATATATGCAGTCATTGAAATAAAGCAGAAATTAATATAAAGTGGGGTTGACATAATG